AAATAAAACTTAAAATTTTTTTTCTTTTTTCTTTTTTTTTTTTTTTCCTTCCCTTTCCCTTTCCCTTTCTCTTTCGTCTTCCCCTTTCCCTTCTCTTTCCCCTCGGAACCCAACAGGCCTGGGTTCCTTCGAACCCACCCAAGCGTTGGGTTCCTTACCCAGGTGCTGGGTTCGATGGAACCCAGCACGCTTGGGTTTGGCTCCTTGCGAACCCAGGCGCTGGGTTCGCAAGGAACCCAAGCATGCTAAGCTCACATCTGGGTTCTTGCAAACCCAACACGCCTGGGTTCCTTGCGAACCCAAGTGCAAAAAATTTTTAAAAAAAAAAATTTCTGTTTTTGTTTTTTGGATTTTGTTGTTTGATTGTGATGAAAAATTGATTGATGAAGATGAAGAAGGCAAGGCAAGGCAATCGCTGGGTTACTGTAGGTGCTGGGTTCGACGCTAGGTTTGATTTTTCAATTTCGAACCTAGCAGCTGCTAGGTTTTTGCAGGTGCTGGGTTTGAAATCGAACCCAGCAGACAGTGGGTTTCATTTCAAACCCAGCACCTGCTTGGTCAGTGGAACCCAACGGTTGCTAGGTTTGAGCAGCCACTGGGTTCCTGCAAGTGAGGCTCTGGGTTCCGTTTCGAACCCAGCAACCGTTGGGTTAAGTATCTATTGAGTTTAATCTGTTGATTTGTTGTGTTATCCTCAAATTTAATATTAGGAGTTAGAGTTTGCAGAAGGTGAAAGGAATGGGAGAGGAAGAAGAAAGTGAAAATGGAAAAACAAATGAAGAAAAAAAAAAGAATAAGAAACTTTTTAAGATTTTTTTCTTGCCATCTCATTTTTTTGCCACGCTATATGTCTTAGGTGTTAAAATGCTTTTACATGCCATTGTTTTCCCATCAAGTAACAAGACACATAGGTTGATATTTGATGGAAGGACCAAATCAAGGTAAAAATGGTAAACAATAATACCAAATCAAGGATTTTTTTAGTTTAGGGACCAAATCGAGGGTCCGTACAATAGTTCAGGGATCAAAAAGGGATTTTAACCTTAAAAAATTAAGAGGTAAAGGAATAAAAAAATTTTAATTTATATTTTAAAAAT